GACTAGTTTTAATATTTCACATTTTTAACATATTTTAAAAATAGTTCGACTATTTTTAACACTACTACTTATTTTTAAAGGCAGTATATATAATGCAGTACTTTGAATGCCAAGGCTGTCCCACTTGAAGTGGGGGCCCTGAGCAAGCTCCCTGACTGTAAACAAAGGTTTACAAGAATGTCCGTCTCTTAGGGTCTTCGTGAGGGTTAAAATGCTCCAGCGTGGTGCGAGGCATACAGGGAGCACTAACACGGTGTTCTAGTTCCTTTAAAAGTACTTTCTTATTCAGAGCCTGCCCTCCTGTTTCAGGGCCTGTCAAAATTAGGGATGCCTCCCTTCCTTGAGTTATGACTGAGCTTTGTTTTCCTGTTTGTGTCAGCTGCTGCTTTTGCTTTACATCATTGCAATCATCCTATTCGTGCATTTTCTTTCTTCTTTTTTGTATAATTGGTGAGCCAGTGTCAATCCTTCACTATTAACTACAGCCCACAGTCAGCGTCAGGGTTTACTCCTGGTCTGTGCATTCTGTGGGTTTTGACTGATGTATAACGACACGTGTCCCCTGAAGGCCCCAGGCTCTGGATCCTCACCCCTCCCTCCCACCCCTGGCAGCCACTGATCTTTTTGCTGTCTCTGAAGTTTCGCCTTTTCCAGATTGTCGTATAGTTGGAACCACACAGTATGTAGCCTTTTCAAATTGGCTTCTTTCACCCAGTAATATGCATGTAAGTTTTCTCCTGTCTTTTCATGGCTCAATAACTTTTTTTGCCCCCCTGGATATTCCACTATCTGGATGTGCCAGTTTGTTTCTCCACTCACCTACCAAAGGACATCTTGGTTGCTTCTAGGTTTTGGCAATTATGAATAAAGCTGCTCAAACACCCATGTGTGGGTTTTTGTGTGGATATAAGTTTTCATGTGAGTTGGGTAAATACCAAAGAGTGCAATTGCTGGATCATATGGTAAGATATGTTTAGTTGTGTAAGAATCTGCCAAACTGCCTTGCAGAGGGCCTGTCCCGCCTTCATCCCCGCCAGCAGTGAATGGGGCTTTCTGGTGCTCCACAGCCTCACAGCTTGTGCTTTTGTCCTTGGGTTGGGTTTTAGTCACCACAAGTGCGCAGCAGTAGCTTATTGAGGGAATTCGCAGTTCTCCGATGACATGCTGTGGAGCGTTTTTGTTCAGGTGTCTGTCTGTCATCTGTTTTGGTAGGGTGTCCAGATCTTCTGCTGATTTTTTAAATTGGGTTGCTTGTTTTCTTATTGTTGAATTCTAAGCGTTCTTTGTATATTTCAGATCCCCGTCCTTTTTGTTTTGCAGACATTTTCTCCTTGTCCTTTCATTCTTTCAATGCTTTGTTCTTTTTTATTGCGATGAAATGGGGATGTGGAGACACGGAGGGACAGAGGAGCAGAGGCCCCCCGTCTTCACCCTCCGTAGACGCAACACCAGGCGTCTCCAGGGGCGCCTGCTGTGTGTCCAGCAACCGTGTCAGAAAGGGGGTCCCCAGTGGTGGCCAGGCCCTCGACCCTGGGGGCGCTCATGTGGCGGCTGGCGTGGGACCAGGAGGCTCCCAAGCCCCTCCCCTGAAGGGGCAGGCGGGCAGGCAGGCAGGCAGGTGAAGCCGCTTCAGCTGGGCCCAGCGGTGTGATCACATGGACTCAGCCCTCCGTCCGTGGGGCTCTCCAGGCAAGGACGCTGGCTGGGTCGCCATGCCCGCCTCCAGGCGTCTCCCTGTAGGGACAACCAGGTGCAGTTGGACGGCTGGGACGTCACTGGCCCTTTGTGTCACTTGCCCAGAGGATAGAAATTGTGGGCCTACATCGACATCCCCTCGTAACTTCTTCAAACTTATTTGGGACACAGAGGCCCGCGCTCCTCCCCAGCGTATTTACAGAGACACACACGGCAGAGGAAGCAGGCTGTTTCCCACAGGGCCTCCAGCGCTGCCTGCGCTCCTCCGGACGACTCCTTCTGCAGGACACACACAGACCTCATGGGGCCTCAGGGGAGCAAAAGACAATAGTGCTTCCCAGGATGGAAAGCAGTCACACCGCAGGGACGGGAAGTTAGCCCCTTGGAGGGCTGGGCCTGCAGTTGTCAGAGTGTCCCTCCCACCCCATCCACCTCGGGAGAAATGGATGCGAAGTTAATGCTGCCAAATAGCTGAGGATTTCTCTGGAGTCCAGTATCAAAACAGGCATATTTCTGGCTACAAGGAAAGCCTGGCGAGGAGGAAGTGAACTGCCTTAGAGAGCGTGATCCCCGTAGAGATAAGCCATTGTGCCCAGCTCGTCCTGAATTCGTTTCCTCTTAAGTCAGATTTTCCACTTAATGGAAAGTGAAGGTGTGTTTACTCAGTCAAAGATGGTTGTAATTCTTGATCAAAAACAGTTGGCAGAGGCCCTTCACTTGGAGGGAAATCGGTGCAGTGCCACCTGGGAAGCCCCTGGGGGCCTCCAGTGTCCAGGACCCCTGCACTGAATGCCCGGCAGAAGGCCCAGAGGGTGCCCTTTACGCTTTCCGATGCAGAGCACCATCAAGCTAAAAGCAGGGCTTCCCAGGAGGCCCTAAAATAATCCGCCTGCCGGGGCAGGAGACGTAAGAGACGTGGGTTCGATTGCGGGGTCGACAAGATCCCCTGGAGCAGGGCCCGGCCACCCGCACGGAGATTCCTGCCTGGAGAACCCCATTGACAACGGAGCCTGGAGGGCCACGGCCATGGGGTCACAGAGTCGGACGCGATTGAAGTGACATAGCACACAAGTTGAAAGCAGAAACTTGAGAAGCCTAAAAAGCTGGATTTAGATCTTCACTCCCTCACCCAGTAGCCGTGTGACTGTGGATAGATATTTAAAATGGCTTCACTCTTACCTGTAAAGTGGGAATAACAACAATGGGGTTGTGCAGACCACCCACTGCCTGCACAGCTACTAGAAGCAAAGCACTTGAAACACACGGAAACACACCAGAGGTCCTCAGAGGAGGAGGCCAGCTTCACAAAGTGTAGGAGGCACCCACTCCAAGTGTTTCACATGAGGAAATAATGACTAGCTTTTATGGCGTCTTATCGCATAGCGCGGGACTTCCCTGGTGGTTCAGAGGGTAAAGCGTCTGCCTTCAATGCAGGAGACCTGGGTTGGATCCCTGGGTGGAGGAGATCCCCTGGAGAAGGAAATGGCAACCTACTCCAGTATTCTTGCCTGGAAAACCCCATGGATGGAGAAGCCTGGTGGGCTATAGTCCATGGGGTCACAGAGTCGGACACGACTGAGTGACCTCACTTTATCTCATAGCACACATATCCTAAGCTAGCCTATGTATTGTTAAGCCTTAAACAATCCCATGAAATAGGGTAATTGTGACACCTGTTTTACAGACAGAGAATCGAAGGCAAGGACAGCCTAAGGACTCACCCGCTCAGTGGCCAGGCTTGGGTCTGAACGTGGGACCACAGAGCCTGGATCGCTGTCTTCTCCATGGGCCTCCGGCCCGTAAGGCCCTGATGATAAACTGACAGAGGGACATGAAGTCCACTGACCAAGAAACGGCGAAGTCCATCAACTCTTCATGACCACAAGGTACGGACGGTCCTGATGAGCCTACGCGGCATCCTTGAGATGCTGTGTGTCCCATGTCCGGTCTGCAGCCAGAGGGTCACCAGGGTCACATCCAACCATCCCCCACAGGCGATTTTAGACAAAGGGCATGGGGCAGAGAGGCCGCAGGGCTGGGCGGAGGCGGGGGCCCTCCTGGTGAACCCCCAGCCGCGTGGACGCCCCTCTGCGCTTCTCCAAACCTGTTTAAGGGCCAAAAGAGCCGCCCGGGGTCTGCCCACCCGCCCCCCACTCCCCGCGCACCGCCCCCAGGGGTGCAGTCTGCCCAGGCCTGGGGCTCATGTCCTGACGAGGCCCTCCCCCCAGGACCTTCTGCCCCAGAGGAGGCGGAGAGCCCAGCCCGTGCTCATCCCCCCCCGCGCCCCTCCCCCGGCCTATCAGAGCATCCTTGGGTGCCGTGCTGCCTGGACGACGGTGCGAAAGGGGCCCCTGGCTAGGTCCAGAACGAGCCCCCGTCCCTCCCCGAGTTCCCCCGCCCCCCGGTCCCTCCCAGGGTCCTTGCCCCACAGCTGGAGCCGTCGGGCCACAGGGTCAGAAGACTCTCCCTGAGGCCCCTCTTGTCCGCTTCTGCTCCAACCGACCACACTCCCGACCCCACTGCCTCTGGTTTAGCGTCTCAGCATTTGGTTCTTCCTGAATGGAGCAGGGAGAGACTTGCACCTGGGAAGACCTGGAAACCAAGCAGCGTCTGTGCGCAACACTCCCGGGGAGGGCGCCGTGAGCGACCCCAGTGAGGGGCTGTCCCCCAGCCGGCTGGTGCCGTGTTCTCCCCGAACCCCAGAGCAGTGCGTGTGTCCTGAGAGGCCTTCTATACCCTTGTGCTGTGTTCCCCTGGAGACAAGGAAGACGGTATTCCAGGCCATTAACCTCCACAGAACAAGCGGATAGGAAAGGCAGGAAGCAACACTTTGAAGGCAAAAGCAAATGGCCTCATTTACTTTTAAAAATGATACCTGGAAAACATCAGTGTGTTCAAAAACAATGTGTTTTTAAAGCGTGAACAGTTAGAAATCCCTGGTCCCGGAGCCCCAGTCTCCAGTCTCTCCAGCCGAGAGCAGTTGAGCTGACTTGGGGTCAAGCTCTGACCTGACTGGGGTGAGGCTGCCCCCGGCCCCCAGGGCCCTCCCACGGGGGAGGGTGGATGCGGGCTCTGACTGTCCTCCTCCAGGGCACCCACTGCAGGCCTCCTGCTCGTGAGTCCCTCCACCTGGAACGCCACCTCCTTTAGTTTCCCTTCGTGGGGGGAGGGGTATCTAATTTCGTTTTTAAGGTATAACATTCATATAGTAAATGGTACAAACCTTAGAGTGTGCCACTGGAGGAATTTTTACATATTTTTCTGCATATGTATTCACCCAGGCCAAGACGCACACTATTTCCAGCATGAGAAGCCTGCCGTGCCTGCCGAAGTCAGCACCCAAACTCGGGGTAAGTGCTGCTCTGACCGCCGTCATCACAGATTCCTTTTGTCGGGTCCTGTAAATGACCTAGGACTTCCCTTGGGGGGCTCAGTGGCAAAGATTCCACCTGCCAAGCAGGAGGCGTGGGTTCCATCCGTGGGTCAGGAAGATCCCCTGCAGGAGGGCATGGCAACCACTCCAGCACTCTTGGCGGAATAACCCCGTGGACGGAGGAGCCTGGCGGGCTACAGTCTGTGGGGTTGCGCAGAGCTGGACCTGATGGAGCCACAGCGGTGAATGACCTAAGGTTCCCTGGTGTCTCCACCACTCTCTGTGGGAGCTCACTGCAACCCTCCGGTCAGCTCGGGTGTCACCTCCTTTCCTGCCCCTTTCCGTAGCGTTGTGCTTTCCTTTCCTTTCCTTCAGAGTCCGTCATGATTTGCAGTTTGTTTCCTTGTTTCCTGTTTGCTCCCCGCTAGAAGGTAAGTGTCCTCTCCCGTTCACCGCTGTCTCCTGAACCCCTAGCCCAGTGTCTAGCTTACGTAGACAATCAAATATTTATTCAATAAATGAATATGTTTGTGAATGAAAGGAAGAAACACCCCAGGTATCAATTTATATGGCCCTGAATCCAAAACTAATTTTAGTCGTTCAAATCCCACTCATGAGGCCTCTGCACTTCTGGTTACAAAGACAATATTCACTGAATTCAAATGTGAAGATTTAGAAAGAAATATTGGAGTTGTTCCTGCTTCTTGCCTGGAAGCAAAAAGTGGGCTAATTCTCCCCTTCTGTAAGAGGATCGCTTTCTCACCAAGACTGGGCTCTTGCTTTGCAGTGTTGAATCAATGTTTTATAAAACAGCTCCATTTTGGCAACATAAAAAGACTCTCTCTACAGCGGTACACTCTACTGGAGCAGTCGAGGACTATGTTCTTAAAACTTCCTTCATATTTTGTCATGTTTTAAACATGAGCACATAATACTTAAAATTTAATGGCAATAAAATACACAGAAGAGGAAATTTACCATCTTAACCACAGCATCTTCATGTTGTGCAACCACCTCCAGAACTCATTTCAGCAAAACTGAAACCAGCCATTAAACAAGTCCCCCATCCCCTCTCCCTACAGCCCCTGGCACTCATGATTCTACTTTATGTCTCCATGAATTTGATTACTCTGGGACCCTTATGTGAGTGGGCTGTGTAGTACAGTATTTGTCCTAGCAACTGGCTTATTTCACTGAGCATAATGTCTTCAAGGTTCATTCATGTTACAGCATGTGTCAGAATTTCCTTCCTTGTACTGGCTTGATAATATTTCGTTGTATGTTAAACCACATTTCCTTTATCTGTTTACGCATTCCTTTGTCGATGGATACTTGAGTTGCTTCTAGCCTTTGGCTATTGTAATGTTGCTGTGAACAGGTGTATTGGATACATCTTTGAGATCCTGCTCTCAGTTCTTTTGGGTATTTAACTAGAAGTGGAATTGCTGGATCATATGGCAATTTAGTGTTTAATTTTTCGAGGACTGCCTTGTCATTTTCACAGCATCTGCATCATTTTACATTCCCAGAAGCAGTGCCCAGGCCTTCCAGCTTCTCTTCATCCTTGCCAACACTTGATGTTTTCTGATTTCTTTGACTATAGCCATCCTAATGGGTGTGAAATGGTATCTCATTGTGTTTTATTTGTGTTTTCCTAATGAAAATTGATGTCAAAAGCATCTTTTCATGTGCTTGTTGACCATTTGTATTATCTTTGGAGAAACGTCTAGTCAAGTCCTATGCCCGTTTTTTATCAGCTTCTTTGTTGGTGGTGTTGAGTTCTGGGCACATATGTCTTAAAATAAGAAAAGAATTTTATTTTATGAAAAAATAGGGAAATGCATACAGAAAGCCATTTAAGAGATTGTGGTCGTTAGAAAGTTGGACTCTGAAATTGAGAACGTTCAGTCACCATAATTATTGAGCACTTAGTCAGGGGAAGCTAATATTCTAACACACAACCCTTAAAGTGACCTAGTGCAAAAAGAAGGTGCTCGCTTACTGCAAGTCCTGGGTGGTCCGAGGCAAGCGTGGGGAAGGGCGGGAGTTATGGAGGAACCGTGTCTCCTGGGGACTCTTTGAGTCTCAGTCGCCCAGGGGTCACAGCTGCCTGCGTCCTGCGACCCTGACTTCCTGAATGGGTGGCTTCCGGGGTCTCCAAGGGACAGGATCAAAGGGAGGACCACACCAGGGGGTCTTCCTCCGGCCAGGCAGCCTCACCTTGTGACAGCCCCGCCCACTGCACAGGGGGCTGGGAGACGCCCCCTTCCTGCGCGCCAGACAGGAAACGGCCAGGTCTCGGCCGGCCGCAGCCTCCTTCAGTCACTGGCGTCTCAGTCTTCCTCCCCTCCGCACAGTTTCTTCCCCTTCTCTCCAGAGACGGCTCACCTCCAGGATCTCCGCTCACATGTTCTTCGCCCTCAAGACTAGGCTCCAGTCTGACGCTCTTGTGACCACTGAGGTCTGCCTCCCGCTCCAACACCCAACATACAGAGCTGAAGTGGAGGTAACGGGTTCCCACTGGGCGTCCCGGGTGCAGTGCTCAAGAGCCCGCCTGCCGACCAGGAGACATAAGACTCGGGTTCCATCCCCAGGTCAGGAAGATCCCCTGGAGGAGGGCATGCAACCCACTCCAGTATTCTCGCCTGGACAATCCCAGGGACAGAGGAGCCTGGTGGGCCACAGTCCATGGGGTCTTCCATATGAGTGCATAGAGTCAGACATGACTGCACGACTGGCTCACCCTTTCCAGGGTCTGCGGGGCGCCCCTGGCTTTCTCTGTCTTTTATTTGATGCTGCAGAGACCCAGCCCGTGTGTCACGCACAACTCTCTCTCTGGAAAGGGAGCTCCATTTTCTTTCTCCCCCTCTCCTCCTATCCACCCCCCTTTCCACCTGAGGAAATGTGAAAGCCGTCCATACAGTGACCACAGCAAAGGCCGCCCTTAATCTTATTAATGATAGCGAGAATTTGTTGTTCTGTTCCCCAGTCATGCCGATCTTTGCGCCACATGGACCGTGCACTGTCTTTCACCATCTCCCTGTCCACTGAGTCAGTGATGCCATCTAGTCCTCTCATCCTCTGCCACCCTCTTCTCCTTTTGCCTTCAATCTTTCCCAGCATCAGGGTCTTTTCTAATGAGTAGAGTAAAGCAGGTATCTTAGCCATTAGGTGTTAAAATGTCCTTGAGCTGAAAGTGCTGAGAAGCCAGGGCTAGTGTTCCGAAGATAAGATCAAAGCCTGATTTCTAGGCAGCTGCTATGTCACCAGATGCCTAGCTCTCACGTAGGACGGATCATTTCCTGGTCCAGGAGGGTCCATGCTGTGTGCTCTCAATAGGCTTTCTTTCATAGCAAGAGTCTTAAGTTATTAAATATATATATATATTTAATTTTAAAAAGGGTTTATTTTAAGGCTGCCCGTGACGAATGGGCACGGTGGCCTGGCCCCTCGCGGGGGTGGTCTTCGGGACGGCCAAAGGGCCTGCTCCCCGTGGGTCTCTCCCGCCCGCCCTGCTGGTGTCAGCTCCCCTCCACCAGCTGCCTGGGCTGTTGGCACGTCTGCAACCACAGGAGGCGCCCCTCTCGCTGCCCCCACAGCACCAACACCAACAGCCTCTCAGCTCGACCGCGCCTGTGTGAGTTTGCCGGGTCTGCCCGGGGCCAGGCCGCCTCTGTCCCCGAGGCGGGGCGCGCGTCTCCTGTGACAGAACGGGGAAGGAGGCCCAGCTCCTCCCAAGGAAGGCGGGCACTGGGGCCCTCGTCGCAGCTTCTGGCGCGCAGTCTCAGCGCCTCCCTTCTCGTTGGTGACACGGCCCAGCCGTCACGACACCCCTCCTTGAAAGCCACGTCTCATCCCTGCCACAGAAGCAGGCAGGCAGGGCCATCTCAGGAGCCAGCTGCTCACCAGAGTCCTTTCGGCCCTGCTTGTGTGGAGATGCCTTCGAGATCGATGTCGTTTTCCACTCCATAACCGCGGAGTAAATGGTCCGTGCAACTGCAGCCAATACAGCTCCGCCTGACGGCAGCGCAGAAGTGGGCTGATTGCGAGGGCAGCCCCCTCCTCCCCTTGCCTCCCACACACCCAGCGAGGCGGGCCAGCACTGCCATCCTGACTCATCCCCGGACGGTCCTGGGCCTGCAGACGCCATCCGAGGCTGGTCCTGGCCTCCCGTGGGCGCTGGCCACTGTCCTGTGGGACCAGGCGCTCACAGTGACTCCAGGGCATCCATCTGCCGGAGGGTCGCGCCACCTCAAACGTCGCAGGGAGAGCTGCCTGGCTTCCCAGCTCGTTCGAGGGGTCTCAGGATTAACTGAGGGGCCAAGACTCCCTGCAATGTTTGAGTGAGATGTACCCCTTTAATTTTATTGGGCTTCCCTGGTGACACCTATAATGCAGGAAACCCGGGTTTGATTCCTGGATCGGGAAGAGTCCCTGGAGAAGGAAATGGCAACCCACTCCAGTATGCTTGCCTGGAGAATTCCTTGGATGGAGGAGCCTGGTGGGCTACAGCCCAGGGGGTTACACACGACTGAGTGACTAACACACACACCGCTTTTATTAAGGGCTTCCCTGTGACTCAGATGGTAAAGAATCCTCCTGGAATGCAGGAGACCCGGCTTCCATCCCTGAGTCAGAAAGATGCCCTGGAAGAGGGCATGGCAACCCACTCCAGTGTTCTTGTCTGGAGAATCCCATGGACAGAGGAGCCTGGTGGGCTGCAGTTTGTAGGATCACAAAGGGTTGGACACAATAGAAGGTTGGGGATATTTTTAATCTCTTTTATATTTTAGATGATGAAAGTATGATAACACATTTACAGGAGACTTGGAAAATACAGAACAGGTTATATATAGTTCTAGTATATATTGCAGTGGTTATTTTAAGTAGATAAATTAAGATTTTTACCTGGAGTTTTAATATCAAACTCTCAAACATTAATAGAATGAATAGACAGAAAAGTAAGATATAGTAGAC